AAATGAGTTTAAATGATATTTAGAAAAGGGATGGTATTTCTTTCACTTTTAAAGTTGAAGGACTTTCAAACTGTAGTTACACTTTGGCAAATAGACAAGAATGCCAATTTCAACTTTAGGATCAGACATTAAGCACTGACATTTTTATTTTCACTTATCCCTTTGATGTTGCTTTGATGACTATTTGGTAAAAAACAAAACATCATCAACAACAACAAAAATCCTGCAAAACATTAAAATAATTAATTAAAACAGTTTAAAAATCAAGATGTGTTATACTTCTTCCAGTATGGGCTGGCCAATTAGCTCAGTTAGTTCGAGCATAGCCTTGTAACACCAAGGTCAAGGGTTCAGTTCCCCATACCAGCCAGCCACCAAAAAATATATACATTTTATATTTTATATATTTATTTATATATTTATATACATATTATTTATATATTTATATAAATACAAATATATATACATATATTTGTATTTATAAATATATATATATTTTTTGTATAAAATATTAAAAAATATATATAATACATATATATAAACACACACTTCTTCCAGTATGGCTTCAAATGGATCCCAAGCTGCCCCCTCAACTCTCATCAAAGCATATACCATTTGCACAAAAGAACATAATTTCTCTAAAATGTAATGACCAATTTACAAAATTTTTTGCTATAGCAATTAAATAAATATAACTGGACAGCCAGATAGTGTCATTTGACTACTTGTCAAAAATCAGTATTGTTTGTCACCACTGTCATCAGTGATTTATATTGTCAATTATGAAATTAGAAAATTAATCAAAAACAGACTCAAAAATATAGTGCTTCTTAGTTCTGCCCTTAACTAAGTCTGGGAAAAATGTTACTCTCCCTTAGCCACTATCTGCCTCTAATGTAGGATTTTATTAGTATTTGAGCGGTAATTTTAAGTTTTGTTGAGCCCGTAGGAATGCTGAAAATGTGTTAAGTCAGAAGTATAACCATGCGTTACAACTCCTCTAAAACTTCCCACAAAAACCTGCACTGAAACTCTAATCCAGCCTTTTGTTTTTATGTATGTGTCAGTTAAAACTGAACAAATGATCTAGCATTTTTTTGTCTTAATTCAAAACCCATTCATTCATAATCTATTCAGAGCTGAAAAATCTCACAAATTTATAAGCCAAATTCACCCAGCTCCGGAACTTTCTTTTTGCCTGATTGCCCCCATATATATTTTAACTACCTCATGATACAGTACAACTGAATCAAACCCAAAGCTCAAAACTATATCCTGTAAACCCGATTAAGAGGTGCTCAAGTAATAAAAAGAAATACAAGGGTACTTCAAAAAGTTTGTGGGAAAATAAAATTAAAAGATAATACAAATCTTTCCATGATCTTTTTGAAAACCACTTGTATACACTCGCATGTTAAAAACAAAACATTCTTTAGGTGAAGGTACTAGGTATTCATTTATAAGCACAGAAGGAACAAATCTTTAATCTCTATGAATATTGCTGAATTTTATACATACATCTCTCAAAGGTACACGAGAAAGCTGAACTCAAACTTTACCTGAAGAGATCATCGGCAAGAGACTCTTCTTTTGCTTGTTGATTTTGCACCTGTCAAAATTAACATAATTTCAAACATTTGCTCAGTGATGAATATACAGTTAATGAACTGCTATACGATAGGTCACAGTCACTGTTGAGATTTCCACATCCAGGTCACCAAGTCTGTGAATTCTTGCCTCTACAATATCTCTCCCATTCCACAGATCCTATTTTCACTTCATACCAAGATAATTACAAAATCGTAATAATTAAACAATGTTCTAATTAAACAACTTTCTTCAGCTAATCTCTCAAAGGCAACCAACATATATTGCTAGCATATATTGAGTTTTTAACATTCTTCTCAGCAGAAGCCTTTTGCTAAATGAAATTTCAGTGCTTTGAGGCCAGGCTGCTGCTGAGACTGACAGGGCCAGTATTTGCCTCAGCTTCAACCAGAGCAGCCCTGCAGGTAAAGGGGCAACCTTCCTCCTGGTCCCAAATCAGGGCTTAAAAGCTGCTGCTGAATTACCTCACCCCACAAAGTAATTTTAAACACAAACTCACCAACTCCTAAAGCGCCTTATAGAGTTAGATTCGGAAAAACCACCCCTGTACTGAGTGCATCTTCCTAACGTGCACATATGATCCTATCACTTGCCATTCAAAGCCCTTCAGTAACTTCTCCCACCTGTCAAAGAAAACACAAACTCTAGAGTCTGACCCTTAAAATGCACAAGGCTCTTCATAACGCGGCTCCATTTTATTTTCCCAATCACTTCTTACCCTTCTCTTTGTAGACCCTGTATGCCAGTTAAAACTGAATAACAAAAAAAGAAAAAAACAAAGACAAAAAACCAGAATGACCACCTAATAAATATCCTGTGACTCTTTCTCTGCTTTTGTTCATATTTTTTCTGCCTAGAAAGTTACCTCCTTTTATTCCTTTTACCACATCTAACCATCTTTCAAAGGGCATTCATCCAATAATTATTTAGTGTCTACTATATGTCAAGGAACGTTCTTCACCTTCCTGATCCCCTTCATTTAAGAAAAACACCTGCTATGAAAAACTCTCCCAAAACTTCAGCTACAGAACTCCTAGAATGCTTGTCATTTTCTACCTCTGTCATAATTATTTATATATGCATCACATCCTCACTGAAAGGCCACAAGTTCCTTAAATGCAGATACTATTTATTTTTACTGTAGTAATTTACATGTGTATACTTCCAGATACTGTCTTAAACTCCTTACCAAAAAAAATCTTATTTAATCTTCATGTGATTTCATTATTACTATTACACTATAATCTCAATTTTAACCAATGAGGGAATAGAGACTTAAGTTAAATAACTGGCAGAAGATCAAAAAACTGTCAGATGGAATAGCTGGGACTTGACCAGGTCTTCCTTAGTAAGAGCACCAGCTCTTAACCAGGCTGCCATGCTGCTTCAGAGTCTTTGGAAAGAGCCTAGAAGAGTGAATTTCAGGGACTCAATCTTACATATTGATTTTCTAGTCATACAGTGAAACATCAAAATGAAATTGCATCTTTTCTTTTCATAATTTCTAATAGGAATAGCAGAACACAAATGGGAAGACACATGATTTTTATAAAGTAGTTGTCAAAAAAGCCGCTCTTCTCATTATTCTAAATATTCTTAGAAACTTCCTATAAGGGGATGCTAATTTTAAAGTTGTTGCACAACAAAGAAAACACAATAAGGAAAAGTCAGTTTTGTTTCATTTATCTTAGCAAAAATATTAAGTAAAATAGTATTAAGACATGGAAATGCCTCAATATTACAGGATTTTTCAAGGGTCTAAGAGAACCACATCTAACAGTCTTTTAAAATTCAAATCAGTTTGGATAGAGTTCAAAGAATTATTGTGTTTAATATACAGGATGAAAATATTCTGAATTCAATGAAACTTCAGGAACTGACTTGATGATTATGAAAACTAAGACTGGTCTGCAGCAGCAGTAGAAAAAGAAGGGTTGAAAAGAACAAAAAGCAGGGAATACATAAAAAAAAGTAGCTGGGGCAAACCTAGGGAAATGAGATGGAAATGCAGTAGCACATTCATGTATGGAAGCAGTATCCATGCAGCAAAAGAAAGTCAAATCTATTATAGAGTCAATTCTACCTAAAATTGCCTTGCCTAAAATTCTACCTAACAATGCCTGAAATCGCTCTTGCAAAAGAAGAGGACATTTGGTGGAATAAATCTAGAACAACCTCTCTCTCAAATTCATAATGAAATAAACAAGAGAATTTTAAAAAGTCAGCAGCTGCACCATCAGTCTTTCAACTCCTCCCCACTCCCAAATCAACTAAACAAACAGAACCTGACACTGGTAAATAATCAAGAACAGGGTAACCCCATGCCATAGACTTCAAAAACATGGTTGTGTAAAGAAACAACGGTTCTGATGCAGTTGATTCCTAACACTGTCCCAACCCATTAAAAAGTGCTATGTAACTAGCCAAACCTGAGAATTCTTACTAATGCCCCAAATTGGGGGGAAAAAAGTAGCCAAAACAGGAAAAACAACTGCTGGTGGACAGCTGGGAAGAGATTAATAGCAAGGAGAGGTGAAGAAGTGGAACTGACACCAAAGACAGAGACTCCACAGATCTCTGACACATTAGGTAAACAATCTAAAATGCTAGATTATTCTCTTTGGGGATAGGGTATAATCTCTGGTACAGGATATTTAATTCAAATCACAGGAGAGTGCTAGCCCAGCGTTTTAATAAAAGCTGCACATAGCTCCAGCTGAGCCCTTCCTTTCCTTGATTCAACATCTTCAGGCAACAGAAACGAGATGGGAAAACACAATGTTGCCATACTAATGGGGAGGCAGCAGGGTAATTCTGTTCTTTATGGGCAAACTAGGAGGGTTAGGAGTAATTACAATTACACTCAATTTCTGTCTCACAAACTGACTTTAGAATGTAATCCCAGCTAAAATGGCACAT